CAGAGGGTGCATAACGATAGCAGCACACACAAACTCCCCTGTGCCAGGCATCGCCCATGTCATCCTCCCAGCAGCACTGTGAAGTGGGAGCTGTTATCTTACCTAAGGTCATACAGCTAGTGAGTGGCAGGGCAGATATTTGGGTCCAGGCAGGCTGGCTTCATTGTCTGTGCTAAGTGCCACAGTATGAACTCCTGCCATATACAGGAAGGCTGGGGTCACCCTAGGTTCCACTGTTCCTACTGTAAGATCAGCACAGGGGTGGGTGTGGAGCAGCTGTGCTATTCAGAGTGACCCCGGCCTCCTCACACTGATGGTGCCAGCACCAGGCCAGGCCTGAGGTGGCTGCTCCACCTCTTCCTAGCCTGCAGGACCCCATCTGAGGGAGGAAACCTAAGACCAGCCAGACCAGGGTGCTGCCAGTATCCCTTGGAATCCCTGGATCGAATGGGAGAGCAAGCCAGGCAGGGGTAAGGGGTTCTTCTCAAAGCTGGGACTACCAGGCTGAGGACCATACATTCATCTGCAGAGCCCTGGATGGGCCTGGCCTGGGAGCAGGGCCATGACATGAGGCTTCAAAGTACTGTAAGAAGAGCTCCCCAATACCAACAGATCCAAGCCTCCTGTACAGATGGGGAAACTGAGGCCTGGAGAGGGAAAGGGTCCTATCCAGGTCACACAACCAGTCCATGCTGGCACTGGGAGAATGGGAGAGGATCCAGTGCTCCCATGGCTCATGTCCCAGCCTGGCTCCCAGAGCTGCACAGATGCATCTACAGGAGGGACCTTGTGTGTGTGTGTGTATGCACGTGGGTGTACGTGGGTGTACGTGTGTGCTCGTGTGCATGACAGCAAAGCCAAAAGCAGGCACCCACAAAGTGCTATGATGCCCACCCCACCTTATCCTAATCCTTCCCTCCCTTCCTTCAATCTTTCCTTCCTTCCTTCCTTCCTGGGGCAAGACCTGCCTTTCTTCTCCAGAGACTTCCCTCACCTCTGCCCCAACCCTTGTTCTCATCTCTCCCCAGGGCCTGGCCTCGGTCCACCCACCATCCCCCTTACTTCTCTGACCTCATCTTTTCCCCTTTCCCCTTTCCATTCCAGCACAGCGGCCCCTCTAGCTCCCTGCCAGGGAACTGGCTGTTCCTCCCACATGTTCTTTCCCCAAGTGTCCACCTGGCTCACTCCGTCACTCCTTCAGGTCTTAAGTCATCTTCTCAGAGGCCATCTGCTCTTTACCCCTCCCCACACTTTCTATACACTGGTCCTGCTTTTTCTCCATAGCATCTATAACACACCATGTATTTTACATAGAACGTTAGCTCCATGAGGATGAGGACTACTATCTTCCTTATGCCTGTTTCCTCAGTGCTGGCATGGAGCCTGGCACATTGGAGGCTGTCAGCTGGAATCTGCCAAGAGAATGGAAAGGCTTGCTCTGCGACAGGTCAGGGTTTATCCGAGCCTGACGTTGGGACCAGAACCTGCAAGGTGTTAGGGGCAGCATACCTAGTGCAAGCCTGTGGCAGAGCAGTGGACAGCAGGTGGGGGCTCTGGGGGCCGCCCTGCCTCCAGGGCTCCTCCCAGAGACAGGAGAATGCCCAGGGGCTGAAGTGCTCACGGAGAGGCAGAGGAGGGGAGGAACCAGAACCCTGGGCCCCATAAATACCTCTCTCAGCTGTAACTGAGGTCTTGGGACCGTGCTGCTCTGGAATGCCAAGAATGAGAAAGGCTCGCAGGGCCGCTGAGGGTGAGAGAGGGGAATGGGCTTGCAGAGGGTCACAGCAGAAGGCCACTGTACAGTTGGGAACTTCCAGCTGTGGGCCCTTCCCTGGTCAATCCCAGCCTGGGTTCCCCTGGCTCAGCTCCTCCCACCGTGGGACATCAGACACACTCATCCTCCCTGGATTTCCTGTGATCTCACCAGGCTCCCCACCTGTTACCCCTCCCCTCTATCCTGTTCTCCATTAAAGCTATTCCTTCTTTGTCTTTTTAAATATATCTTACATACAAACAATACATGTCACATTTATGTTACCAAGCACAATCATATAATAAACCCACAAATGTATGTCCACGCCAGAACTAGAAAATTATTAATAGCTTTCACTACTCCTGTGCTCCTCCCCATCTGCCTGTAGGAATCATTTCTTTTTCTAAAATAGTTTTCTTACATGCATATCTATATATAGCAAAGAATGTGTTTTTGCTTGTTTTTCAGCTGTAAGATTGGTGTCACACTGTATATAGTATTTTATTTTTGAGACAGAGTCTCACTCTGTCACCCAGCCTGGAGTGCAGTAGCACAATCTTGGCTCACTGCAACCTCCACCTCCCGGGATCAAGGGATTCTCCTGCGTCAGCCTTCCCAGTAGCGGATTACAGGCACCCAACCACACCAGCTAATTTTTATATTTTTAGTAGAGACAGGGTTTTACCATGTTGCCCAGGCTGGTCTGGAACTCCTGACCACAGGTGATCTGCCGGTCTCGCCTTCCCAAAGTGCTGGGATTACAGGCGTGAGCCACCACAGCCAGCTACTATATTACTTTTTATGCCTCTAGAATTTTTCTGTGTTGTTACAGGTGTCTGTTGTGCCTTAATTTTCGCTATTGTAGAGGATTCTGTTATTTGCAGTTGCACAGCAGGGTATGTATCTGTCCCCTGTGGTTGGACATCTGGGTTGTGTCCAGTGTCTCTCGACCACCCTACCTTTGCCATGTTCCCTGACCCTCCTGTCATTATTCCACACTCTAGCTACATCCACAAAGCCATGACTTCATGAATCCCTGTCTTCAACTTCTGAGCTCCAGACCATATAAAAGGCATAACTGTGTTTATTGAGCCAGAAATGAATCTCAACATTTTACATGTGGTAGCGCATTTAATATTCACAGCAATACAAATGATAGGTAATATTCTTATCACTATTTTACAAATGAGAAGGCCAAGGCCCGGAAGGGTGGAATATTTGCTCAAGATCACACACCTTTTCCCACGCCCCCCTTCCAAGTCCCATCGGCAACTCAAACTCAGCGCGTCCATGATGTAACCTATCATTTCCTCACTTGTGCCCTACTCTCAGTGGGGACATCTCCAATCCCCAGGCCCAAGCTGGAAACTGGAAGCCATCTCTGACTCCTCCCTCTCCCTCACCCACTCCATCCAAACAGAGCCCAAGTCCGGCACATTGTACCTCTTGGGTATTGATCAATCCCGTCTCTCGTTTCCATGCCTGCAGTGCTGACCCATTAGGTGCCCAGCTGCTGCTCTTGGGTCATCGCTTCCCACCACTCTCTTTGCAGGCCCATCTCCACCATTTCCAGCATCCTGCACACTGTGGCTCAAGTGCATTTTATTTTTTAATTTTTTCCCTTCAAGGTTACTGTAAATCAAGTGCACTTTCTAAACCTCACCGTGTCCCCCACCTCCAGAAGGAAGCCCAGTCTCCTCTGCCCATCCCCTCAAACTGTAAAGTGCAGCTCTTAGCCCCAGAAAGGACACCCCCCACCACATCCTGCTCTGTCTCCTCCTCTGGGAAGCCTTCTGGCCTTGGCCCAGAGGCTGGATGTGAGCTCCTCCACCCCGAACCCCACAGCCTCCAAGCCTCCCACTCTGCACTCACTTTCTTCCTCATAATTACTTGTCCCCCATTAAACTGCAACCATCTGCAACCATCAGAGGCAGAGCCCAGTGCATCCACTGGGCATCCCCAGTGTCCAGACAGGGCCTGCACACAGTAGGTGCACAATAATTGTTGAAAGGCAAAATGCATAGCAATGACAGGAACCATGGGTGATGCTGCCTTCTGAGCCCCAGGCAACAGAGTGATTCTTACCTGACCCCAGGCTTGGCGGATCCTGGCCCCCTACCCCCACCCGACCTCTGCACCTGCTTCCCTGGAGCCCTTGGAGCCCTATGAGGCCTCTTCCTGTGTCTTCATGTGTTTGAAGGATTTCCCTCTTTGCATTTTCCTTACAACTGTGGGATTCCTTCACGTAGGAGCACTCTGGCACCAGGAAGAAGAAAGACGAGTCCAACCCCTTACCAGCCTTCAATCTATAGCAAGCATTCTCAAGGGAATTAAAACTGATTCTTTTTTTTTTTTTTTTTTTTTTTTGAGACAGAATTTCGCTCCTGTGGCCCAGGCTGGAGTGCAATGGCTCGGTCTTGGCTCACTGCAACCTCTGCCTCTCCGGTTCAAGCAATTCTCTTGTCTCAGCCTCCCAAGTAGCTTGGATTACAGATGCCCACTACCATGCCTAGCTAATTTTTTGTATTTTTAGTAGAGATGGGGTTTCACCATGTTGGCCAGGCCCATCTCAAACTTCTGACTTAAGGTGATCCACTTGCATCAGCCTCCCAAAGTGCTGGGATTATAGGCGTGAGCCACTGTGCCCAGCCTAAAACTGATTCTTGAAAGGGGAGGTGAAAAAAAATCTTACTCTTTTTTATGTATAAAATACAGAACATACACAGTACATAAACAGGTACATAGTATATCTGTGGTATTAAAATTTCATGTGATTAAGAAAAAAATATCTAAAAGGCTACTGGGGAAGGCACTAATGGAAAAAAAGGCTAAGAAATTCTGATCTACATTCTTGGGCCTTGCCTTGTCTGTTCCAAGAACTGGCCAGAACTCAGGGAATGGAAGAACCAGGGGAAATTCGAGTCCAATCCCAGGATCCCCTCAAAGTATCTCCAAAGCTGGCCCCCCCATCAGCCAGCCAGCTATGGTTCTTTCCCCGAAACTGCCCTTCCTTCCCCCGTGCCTGAAAATCCCTCATTGTGTTTCTGTCATTCTTTCCTCTCACCCTGTTCCTACTGAGGGCGCAGGTCAGCTCTTCACTCTCTCCCGGGGGCATCCCAGTTCCCAGAGTGTGAAAGACTCAGGTGCCTCACCTCTACACCTTGGGCTAAGGCATAGCCCTAGAGCTACTGGAAGAACCCAGGAGGGGAGCCCAACCACAGGAGTTCCCTAGGAAGTGGGGTTCTGCTGTGGGATAAGGCTTGCTTTATTGGGGTGGGGGTGGGATCACAAAGAATCTCTACTTAGAACTGTTCTTGGGCCATGGATTCCTGTAAGGTGGGGGCCAGGCGGACTGAAGGTCTGTTGTCAGGGCTCATGGAGACGGGGGTGAGGCGAGAGGCCATGGATGTGTGAGGTTCCATCTTGGACGATACGGTTATCCTGTTATCTTCATATGCCACAGAGTCTTCCAATTTTGGGGGCTCCCGTGGGATGGTGGAGCCAATGAAGACCACATAGATGATGCCACCTAGATAGGCACCCAGAAGTGGCGCCACCACTGGCACCCACCACCAGTTCTCCCCATCGCTGCAGGCAAGAGGCAGAGGCCTGCTGAGGGGGGCTGATGTCCAGGACAGCACCCTCATCCACCTCAGGCCAAGACAGGGTGAGCGGAGGAGTCATCCCCAGGATACCCCAGGAGACAGCTCAGCCCGGGGCCCTGGTTGGCCTCAGCTCGATTCAGGGACAGGGCTGACACTCCAGGCAGGTGTGGGGTCTGTATCCGTACTGCTCTGGGGAAATGTTGGGACTCACTCCTGCTCCCCAGGCCACCACGGGGCTCTGCAGGACCCTCCTATGCTGCCCCTCACATCACTCCCACACCTCCTCAACATGCAGGGGACCCACAGAAAAACTCGAAAGAATGGGCCTAGGCAGGGGCTATACCTGAAGACCTGTTTGCCCCAGCCAGCAATGAAGGTGAAGATACGGGGGGGCAGGTCCCGGGATGGGTTGATAGCATATCCTGTGTTCATGCCAAGGGACATCCCGATGGTGACCACGAGTATGCCTATCACCAGCGCCTGTGTGCCCGGCAGTGCTGGGTTGTTCTCCTTGTCCGTGATGGCGAAGAGACACAGCTGGAGCATCCCTGTCAGCCACACCTGAGGAGCAGATGCTGTGGCAGCTCACCAGGGCCCCTCCCCAAGCCACAGGGCCTCGGCAGTGCCCCAGATCCAAGCCCACTAGCAGAGATGCATCTCTGTACAATCTCCATCCGGAGTTCTTCACCTGCCTATCAGGAGGGGCTCCCTGCTGGCTCCGTCCTGAGGGGTGGGGGGCAGGAGGAGGGGTACTCATCCTGGACCACTGACCTCATTCAGGAAGCCCCGCCACAATGTCATGTAATCAGGAAGGTAGGTGGCAAAAATGCCAGCCGTCGCTACGGGACCGGTCACCATCAGCTGTCCACCCGAAAAGTGGAGAATGGCCGCTGCGGAGACACAGACTGTCGTGTGAACCTGCCCCCAGTGAAGCCCCACAGGGTCCCAGAAATGACATTATAGGTTAGAGGGTGGAGGAGCTCCAAGGCTTTTTTCTCCCAGCTATTTTTTACAAACCAGGACACTGAGGTCCGATCTGCCCTAATTTCAGAGGAGGCTACTGAGGCCAGAGGCAGACACCCAGGCAGTGCACTCACTGTAGAAGAGGGTGTAGATGGTGGCAGCCGCCAGGAAGGAGCCGAGGAACTGACCCAGCACGTAGACCGGAAACTTCCTCCAGGGCAGGCGGCCCAGCGCGCAGTTAGCGAAGGTCACAGCTGCATTCATGTGGGCCCCTGCAGGCAGGACCAAGTGTGTCAGGGAGCGAGAGCAAAACAACAACAATGACAGCTGTACTGAGAACAGCAATGGCTGGTGTGCACAGAGAGCATGCTCCTGACAGCTCTCTTATTGACCCTCACAACCACCCTGTGGGGCCAGAGCCACAGCCTTTGTGTCACTGTTAAGGAGACTGAGGAACAGAGAAGGCAATGACTTGCCTAAGATGACCCAGCCAGTGAAAATGACAGGTCATGGGGGCCCAGGAAGAATCTGGGGCAGACACATCCTAGACGAGGGGTTGGGAGGAGACCTCCTCCCTCCCAGTGGCCAGGCGGAGAGGCACTGGCTGTGCCGGAGAAGGGGCTGGCTGGGGCGGACAGGAAAGAGCCTGTGGGGGGACAGCTGGCCTTGCCCAGTCCGGCAGGGCCTGGGGTTACTCACCAGAGATGTTGCCTGCCACATGCACTCCCATGGCGACACCGAAGCCAAAAGCCAAGTTGACAGCAAGGTAGCTCCCATGTTTTTTACTTAGAACCATATGGGCCACGGAACCAAGGCCAAACACCTACAAGGGAGGACCACTAAGGGGGCTGCCTGTCCCGGAGCCCCAACCTCAGACGAGGGCTCAGAGCCCAGTTCTAGCTCCTCATCCCCATGCCCTGGGCCTTCCTGCTATTACCCTCAAAGACCTTCTGCCATGCCCTTTCTCCAGAGCCTTCCCTCCTCACCACCTCCTCTCCTTGCCCCTGCTGAGGCCTCTCAGACCTGAGCCCCTGAGAGCCAGGTGGAGCAGCAGAGTCAGAGGCTCTCAGACACATGTCCAAGCACCTCAGCCCCAGGCCCACACGAAATTTGGAGGTGAGGCAGGGCTGTGAGGAGGGGATGGCTGGCATGGATGGCACGCCCTCAGAGTCCCTCACGCTTCAGGCCTGCCTGAAGGAAGTTTCTTCACAGGACCTCCAAATCCATCTATTCCTGTGTGTGCGCACGCGCGCGCACACACACACACACACACACACACACACACACACACACACACACCCTCCACCCCACCCCCTGCAATGATAGAGCAGTGGGGTCCTAACTCTCCTGCCCTCAGCTTCATTTCCACGGACCTCAGGTGGCTCTCCCAAGCCGCTGCTTCTTGCCCATCCCTCACAGCTCCTCAGATGATGCCGCCTTCACAGGGGGAAGGGGCCAAACTTCAGGCCCATTAGCCTCAGTCTAGAGCCACTGTCCCCTTCAGCCCTGCCTCCTGTGCCATCCTCTCCCTCTGCAGAGGTCTCCATCTCCCCTGTACCTTCCATCCTCCCACTGACTGGCTCCCACAGACTGGAGTCTCATCCTTCCCAGAAAACCGTCCTGCCCCTGCCCAGCCTCCCTCTCCAGCTGTGGGCTCCTGGTCGCCCTGTCCCTGCTTCAGTCAGACTGTAGGAGAGAATGCACTGGCCAGCTGCTTCACCCCTTCCTTCACGCTCCCTTCTCAATCTGGCTTCCACTTCTGCATATCACAGACACCGAAGCTCTCTCCAGGGGCTCCCACAACCTCCTTTTCCAAAGGTCTCTTGCCAGGTCCACAGCTTCAGCTATGCCTGATGGACCAAAATTCCCGTAATCTCCACTGGGGAGCCAGATTCCTATCTGCAAATCACCACTGGAACTTTCCTGGTGTTCCACGTGCATCTCAGGCTCTGTTGAAAGTTCGCCATCTCTGGATCACCAGAGGTCAGAAGTTCAAGATCAGCCTGGCCAACATGGTGAAACCCCATCTCTACTAAAAATACAAAATTAGCCGGCCATGATGGTGGGTACCTGTAATCCCAGCTACTCAGGAGGCTGAGGCAGGAGAATCACTTGAACCCAGGAGGCGGAGACTGCAGTGAGCTGAGATCGCACCTTTGCACTCCAGCCTGGGCGACTGAGGGAGCCTCCGTCTCAAAAAAAAGAAAGTTCACCATCTCTCAGCACACCTGCTCCTTACTCTATGTTCCCCATCCCAACTGGCAGAGCCAGAAACTCCGATGTTGCAAATGGGAGTTTCCTCGCCATCCTCCCCAACACCCCATCAGCTCTGCTCACATTCTCCCTGAACCTCGCCCAGCCTCCTCCTTGTAGCCAGTGACCTTCCTGACAAAAACCCTATCAGGGCCGGGCGCGGTGGCTCAAGCCTGTAATCCCAGCACTTTGGGAGGCCGAGGCGGGTGGATCACGAGGTCAAGAGATCGAGACCATCCTGGTCAACATGGTGAAACCCTGTCTCTACTAAAAAAAAAAAATACAAAAAATTAGCTGGGCATGGTGGTGCGTGCCTGTAATCCCAGCTACTCAGGAGGTTGAGGCAGGAGAATTGCCTGAACCCAGGAGGCGGAGGTTGCGGTGAGCCGAGATCGCGCCATCGCGCCATTGCACTCCAGCCTGGGTAACATGAGTGAAACTCTGCCTCAAAAAAAAAAAAAAAAAAAGAAAAGAAAAAACCCTATGAGGTCTTCCCCATGCTCACTCACTGGCTCCCCTCTACTTCTAGGATAAAGTCCAAACTCAGTAGGCCACCATCTAAGACCCTTCATAATTTCATCCTTTCTGCCTGTTTCATATCTGCCCCGATATTCTTTGTATTAGGCAATAGTTTTACTACTAAATAATAATAACCATTTATTGAGCACTGACTACATGCCAGCGAGTTATACTGACCATGTCCTTTAACCCTGACACCAATCTTATGAGTTAGGTGCTATTATTCTCCCCCACTTGATAGACAGTAACCTGAAGCTTAGAGAACTTGAATGGCTTGTCCAAAGTCACACAGCCTGTACCTGGTGAGCCAGGATTAAATCCAGGCACTTACCTATGCCAGACGGCCTCAAACCAAACAACTGCACTGCTCCAGGCATGCCTTGCTTTCTAGTGCTTCTGTTTTGTTTTGTTTTGTTTTTTTTTTTTGAGACGGAGTTTCCCTATTTTCACTCTTGTTACCCATGCTGGAGTGCAATGGTGCGATCTCGGCTCACCGCAACGCAATTCTCCTGCCTCAACCTCCTGAGTAGCTGGGATTACAGGCACGTGCCACTATCCCCGGCTAATGTTTTGTATTTTTAGTAGAGACAGGGTTTCACCATGTTGACCAGGATGGTCTCGATCTCTTGACCTTGTGATCCACCCGCCTCGGCCTCCCAAAGTGCTGGGATTACAGGCTTGAGCCACCGCGCCCGGCCTAGTGCTTCTGTTTTATTTGTTTGATTTTTGAGACAAGGTTTTGCTCTATTACCCAGGCTGGATGGAGTGCAGTGACATGATCAGGGCTCATTGCAGTCTCCATCTCCTGAGCTCAAGTGATCCTCTCACTTCAGCTTCCCAAGTAGTTGGGACTATGGGCATGTGCCATGGCACCCAGCTAAATTTTTTTTTTTTTTTTTTGAGACAGAATCTCGTTCTGTCGTCTAAGCTGGGGTACAGTGGTGTGATCTCGGCTCACTGCAACCTCCACCTCCTGCCTGGGTGACAAAGTGAGACTCCGTCTCAAAAAAAAACAGAAAAAAAAACTGGATGAGCGAGTGAACCCCACATGATTTCCTGTGTCAGGGTTGCCAACTGGCATCCCATGCCCTAATTCATCCAGCACACAGGTTTTGTTTGGATCACTTGGTTTTGCAGAACAGGAGTTTCTATCTCTCTTGAAAAATGAGATGCTCAGGCAACACTGGCCTGCATTTCGTCCTCCATGGCAACAGTCAGCTGGCACAGCGGCAGCTCCAGCCTTGCACAGATTGGCACTCTGCAGCCAGCCAAAGTCCCTCTCGCCCTGAGTTGCGGCTCTCGTGGCCCCGTAGCATGTGATCTGCAACCCTTGCCCCATGGCTCACGTGTATGGCTGGTTTTCAGGGCCCGGATGGTTCCAGCCCCGCCTCTCCCTGATCAGAGAATATGGCCCAGCCCATCCAAGTCTCTCTGACAGCCAGGAGGCCAGCTCCAAGGGCAGTGCCCTTGGAAGTTGCAACATGAATCCGTCCACTTCCCTCATCCTGGCTGCAATAAATGGGGGCCAAGGTCACACTAGGTTTTTTGGCAAAACCTTCACCCTGGTGACTCACAGAGATTCCTATTAAAGCCCCCACTTCTTGGCACAGCCTGGCAACTAAAAATAACAATACAATGTCCCATATAGGCTTACACCTCACAAAGTTCTTTTACAAGTGTTATTGTCTTCAATCCTCACGGCAAATCTGCACAGCAAGAATTTTTCTCCCACTCTATAGAAGGGGAAACTGAGGCCCAGAGAGGCGTGTTGAACTACCTGAAAGTGATTACCTTACCCCGTCTGGGGGAGCATTAACAAGCCAGAGTCTTTAAAAGCCAGCTATGGCCGGGCGTGGTGGCTCAAGCCTGTAATCCCAGCACTTTGGGAGGCCAAGGCGGGTGGATCACAAGGTCAAGAGATCGAGACCATCCTGGTCAACATGGTGAAACCCCGTCTCTACTAAAAATACAAAAAATTAGCTGGGCATGGTGGCGCGTGCCTGTAATCCCAGCTACTCAGGAGGCTGAGGCAGGAGAATTGCCTGAACCCAGGAGGCGGAGGTTGCGGTGAGCCGAGATCGCGCCATTGCACTCCAGCCTGGGTAACAAGAGCGAAACTCCGTCCCCCCCCCCCCACCAAAAAAAAGCCAGCTATGTTTAAGCTAAAGGACAGAGCATAGAGGTTAAGGGTCAAGAAGGCCGGGCACGGTGGCTCAAGCCTGTAATCCCAGCACTTTGGGAGGCCAAGGCGGGTGGATCACGAGGTCAAGAGATCGAGACCATCCTGGTCAACATGGTGAAACGCCGTCTCTACTAAAAATACAAAAAATTAGCTGGGCATGGTGGCGCGTGCCTGTAATCCCAGCTACTCAGGAGGCTGAGGCAGGAGAATTGCCTGAACCCAGGAGGCAGAGGTTGCGGTGAGTCGAGATCGCACCATTGCACTCCAGCCTGGGTAAAAGGGAAAAAACCCCCCAAAAAAAAAAAAAAAAAAAAAAAGAGGTTAAGGGTCAAGAATGTGATATTAGGCCAGGCGCAGTGACTCATGCCTGTAATCTCAGCACTTTGCAAAGCTGAGGTGGGAGGATCACCTGAGGTTAGGACTTCAAGGCTAGCCTTGGCAACATGATGAAATCTTGTCTCTCCTAAAAATACAAAAATTGTGCTAGGCGTGATGGTTCATGCCAATAATCCCAGCACTTTGGGAGGCCAAGGTGGGCAGATTACCTGAGGTTAGGAGTTCAAGACCTGCCTGGCAAACATGGTGAAACCTTGCCTCTGGTAAAAATTAAAAATTAGCCAGGCATGGTAGTGGGTGCCTGTAATCCCAGCTACCTGGGAGGCTGAGGCAGGAGAATTGCTTGAACGTGGGAGGCAGAGGTTACAGTGAGCTGAGATCGTGCCATTGCACTCTAGCCTGGGCAACAGAGCAAGACTGCGTCTCAAAAAAAAAAAAAATGGCTGGGCATGGTGGCACGCAACTGTAATTCCAGCTACTCTGGAGGCTGAGGCACAGGAATCACCTGAACCCAGGAGGTGGAGGTTGCAGTGACCTGAGATTGCACCACTGCACTCCAGCCTGGGTGACAGAGCGAGACTCCAACTCAAAAAAAAAGACTGTGATATTAGACTGGACTGGATTTAATCTTGACTTAAAGTGTGACCTTGGGCAAGAGGCTTAGTCTTATGGAGACTCAGTTTTCCCATCTGTGAAACGGGATGATAGTACCTACTTCACAGGGCTATTTCAAGGATTTGGGAAGACACATGTAAGGGGCTTAGCATCACAGTGCCCAGGATGCGTTAGGTGCTCAGTAAAAATCTCAATAAAAGAAAGAGAAACACAGATGTGGGCAGGTATCAAGCATGTGGGCGGTGCTGCTTTTCCTAACAGCTCTGGGAGAACACACCCTCCTGCCTCCCAGGTTCCAAGGTTTAACAGCCCTCATGGGGCTGGAATGTCTTGTCGTAAGTGAATTACTGTGCCCTGGATTAAGGAGGGACAGGATCCAACTGCTGTCCTCACAGCTCAGGAGCCAAAGCAGGTGGGGAGGTAAGAGAGGAGCAGGGGAGGACCACATACAGAGAGGAGAGAGCAGCCGAGAGCACCTGTCCTAATAACGAGGGATCAACACGTGGGTACCACATGTATGCTTGTGCTGGCACTTGACCTTCTTCACACAAGTCCTCCAGCTTTATGTTAATGTTCCTGTTGACCAATAAGGGAGCTAGAGTGGTGGGCCAGGTGCGGTGACTCATGCCTGTAATCCCAGCACTTTGGGAGGCCGATCTGGGCAGGTAACCTGAGTTCAGGAGTTTGAGACCAGCCTGGCTAGCATGGTGAAACCCCATCTCTACTAAAAATACAAAAATTAGCTGAGCACAGTGGCACATGCCTGTAGTCCCAGCTACTCAGGAGGCTGAGGCAAGAGAGTCACTTAAGCATGGGCGGTGGAGGCTGCAGTGAGCCAAGATTGTGCCATTGCACTCCAGCCTGGGAGACAGAGTGAGCCCCTGTCTCAAAAACAAGAAAGTTAAATTTGTTAACAGTTAAGATACTTGTGGATGGTCACACAGCTAGAAGATAGAGCTAGGATTCAAATCCCGCAAAGGCCTAATTCTGTGCAATATAAGTGAAAAGTCAGGTTTTAAGCCAGGGGGAGAACCGCCCAAGGACAACTGGTGACTCAGTGGCAAGATCAGGCCAAGAACCCTGGTGTCCCGCTTCCCTCTCTCCCTTGAGCTCCATGGAAGCCCCACCATCTCCTGCACTGTGGCTCAGTGCACGCATGCACACGCACACACACAGCTGCAGTTAACTAATAATCATAACCACACACACAAACAGCCTCTCTCACCCCACATTCCTCTGGCATGCACCTGGCTGCCTTTTCTTCTCTTCCTGGAGGCTGCCTCTTCTTTTTTTCTGGACCCTGGACCCTGTATAAGATGCAATAAGCATGGCTACAGTCGTGTTAAGGGCCGAGGCCCGCTAGGGTAAGTGGCAGGGCTGAAGCAGGTGGAGAGAGAGCAACCTCACACCTGCCTGCAGTCTGGATGTGCAGACTTCTGAAGAAGAGCCCCTAGGCCAGGCGCAGTGGCTCACTCCTATAATCCCAGCACTTTGGGAGGCCAAGGTGGGCAGATCACCTGAGGTCGGGAGTTTGAGACCAGCCTGGCCAGCATGGAGAAACCCTGGCTCTACTAAAAATACAAATTAACCAGGTGTGGTGGTGCGAGCCTGTAATCCCAGCTACTCGGGAGGCTGGGGCAGAATTGCTCGAACCTGGGAGGCGGAGGTTGCGGTGAGCCAAGATCATACCATTGCACTCCAGCCTGGGCAACAAGAGCAAAACTCCGTCTCAAAAAAAAAGAAGAGTCCTTGTCAAGGTTACCAGCAACCTCCACGTTGCCAAACCCTGGGGCCTTTTGCCAGTGCTCACCTTGCATGGACCATCTGCAGCTGCCCACACCACTGACGACTTCTTCCTGGTAGACCACTGCTCCCTCTATCACGCAGTCCCCTCTGGTTCTCCTCCCACCCCTCTGACCGTCCCTTCTCAGGCTCCTCTGCGTGCACCTCTTCATGCCTCAGGGCTCTGTCCTCAAACCATCCTTTTCTCTTTCTGTGCACTCTCCCTGGACAATGTTGACAACCACCACCTGTGTTCTGATGAATTTCAACTCTTTCCTTCCAGACCAAGCTTCTCCTGAGCTCCAGCCCCTGCCTGTGTTTAGCTATCTCCTGGATTTCTCCATGGGCATCTCAATCCATGGGCATCTTCCCTGCTCACATCCAAACCAGCCTCACCTCTCGCCCTGGGCTGGCCCCGTGCTCCAGAACAACAGCTCATCGGCGCTTTGCCCACATCTTCTACTGGCAGAGTCTCAATTCCATCTTCCACAGCCCTCAAACACACGCTTTCTTCTCCATCCCCAGACCAGCCACCACCCTCTTTCTGTCCCAGATCAACAACAGCCTCTTAACTGGTTCCCTCCCGCCAGCCTTGCCTGTCTTGCTTATGCTCCACACTGCACCCAAAATTACCGTTAACATCCAAATCTGATCATGTCACTACTCCCCTGCTTTCCAGCCTTCAGCATCACCCCATTGCCCTCTGGATTCATTCTCAGAGCCTGATAGTCAAGGTCTTCAATCTCTCTCTCTTTTTTTATTGAGATGGAGTTTCACTCCTGTCGCCCAGCCTGGAGTGCAGTGGCACAATCTCTGCTCACTGCAACCTCTGCCTCCCAGCTTCAAGAGACTCTCCTGCCTCAGTCTCCCAAGTAGTTGGGATTACAGGTGTGTGACACCATGCCCAGCTAATTTTTGTATTTTTAGTAGAGACGGGGTTTCACCATGTTGGCCAGGAACTCCTGACCTCAGGTGATGCGCTCACCTCAGCCTCCCAAAGTGCTGGGATTACAGGTGTGAGCCACCAAGCCCGGCCCTCTTCAATCTCTTTACCCCGGGTTTCTCTTCTTACCACTTCCAGCCATGCCCCAGATACCCCAGTGCATGGTTTCATTTGACCCCCACATATTATGATCCCTTTCTGTCCAAAAAGACTTGATGAGAAAGGCCTCCTCCTCACTTTCCTCTGCTGCTTCCCCAGGCTCCCAGCTCAGAGGCAAGGTATACACAATGTGACCGGGTCAGCATGGGGAGAGGGCCATGGATGGACCTGGCCGAGCCCCACCCACTTCATGCTGCCCACCACCCACTCACCATCATGACATACGTGCTCATGAACTCGGCCAGGAACTCTCGCACCAACTTCTTCTGCAGTATTTGCTGTGTCCTTGTTTTCCAGGACCAGGAGACCATTTTGGAGCTGCGGGTGGACCTGAGACAGCGGCCCGAGCCCATGGATAGAAAGCAGACTCCAGTGTCTGCCTGCTGCCCAGTGGCTCTTCAGCTCACAGCTGAGTTAATAGGTAACCCAGCAGCCTTGCCACACACACCTCCTCTTGCCCAGGGCAGCTGGGAGAACTGGAATCAGAGACTTGAGAGCCATGGGGACATGGAGAGGAACTGGGGTAGATGGCCAGGCCATGCCCCTTCTTCCTTCTAGTTGGGCCTGGGCCAGTAAAAATGGCACACCAGTGAGGCCACTTTGCAGACGGGCCGGTGGGGGGCTGAAAGTACAATCCATGGTGCCAACAAGCCCCTGAGAAAAAGCAGGGTAGGAGGCAGCAAGCTTGAAAGTAGACCTCAGTTGTCTATGTCTGTCTGTCTCTCCGTCTGTCTGCCTGTCTGTCTGCCTGCCTGTCTGCTGGAGCCAGGGCTTTCAGGTCACAGGCCAGGTGAGGGCAACAGTGAGGCACTCTACAAACAGCATGAGGTGTGGCAAAGTCTGCTGCAGAGCTCTACAAACAGCACTGAGCACTGAAACATGCTCCAGGTTCTGTCAAAGATGAAGGTGTCAGCAAAATGCACCAGGCTCTGCAACCAGGTCAATGCAAACAGAGGTGTGTGAGAAAGCGAGTGAATGAATGAATGAATGAATGAACAGGAGGGAGGGAAGGAGGAAAGGAAGGACTGGATCTTACTTCCTGGTGTATCTTCAGTGCCTATAGCACAATGACAGGTACACAGTAGATGTGCAATAAATATTTGTTGAATGTGTGAGAACTGGGGAATCTGTCTTACTCTCAACTAGATCTTCAGAGCTTCCCAAAGTGCCTGGCACTTGATATATATTTAGTTAATAAGTGCACAGTTAGATGGACAGGTAGATGAAACAGTAACAGGTCCCAAATCTTCGTATAAGGGGAGGTATAGGACTAGAGTTTGGGGAAGGTGGGGGGCGGGGCTGGAGAATAAAGAGAAAGAAGTGAGGCCAGGCATGGTGGCTTACGCCTATAATCCTAGCACTTTGGGAGACTGAGGCAGGCGGATCACCCGAGGTCGGGAGTTCCAGACAAGCCTGACCAACATGATGAAACCCCGTCTCTACTGAAAAATACAAAATTAGCCAGCGCGGTGGTGCATGCCTGTAATCCCAGCTATTTTGGAGGCTGAGACAGGAGAATCAGTTGAATCTGGGATGTGGAGGTTGTTGTGACCCAAGATTGCACTCCAGGCTGGGCAACAAAAGCAAAACTCCATCTCAAAAAAAAGAAAGAAAAAAAAAAAGGAAGAAAAGGGATAGATACCTCTAGGTGTGGTCTTAGTGCTTGTTTAGACTAGTCACTCTGCTATCTCACTATCTGGATGCCGGGAAGCCAACACCAGCCCCTCAACTCCTCTGGCCAGCCCATCCTTGCACATCACTTACTGCCTTGGCTGTAGGCCTTTCCACATGCCATTCCTATGCCCAGAATGGTCCCCTGCCTCCCGGAGGCTCCTTTACCCTGCCAGCCTCCTTTTCTTGACCTAAATTTCCCTTCCTCTGGAAGAGCCTCCTACCTCCTACCCACTCCTCTAGGCCATTCACTTCCTCCACATGCCCATGGTGCCCACTCTTTCAGCTGTGGCACTGCTCCTCACACTGCACAGTAATTGCTTAAGTAGGCCAGGCACAGTGGCTCACGCCTGTTACCCCAGCACTTTGGGAGGCTGAGGCAGGCTGATCACTTGAGACCAGGAGTTCGAGACCAGCCTGGGCGACACGACAAAACCTCATCTCTACAAAAAAATACAAAAATGAGTCAGGTGTGGTGGTGCATGCCTGTTTCCAGCTGCTGGGGAGGCTGAGGTGAGGTGATTGCTTGAGCCCACAAGGTGGAGGTTGCAGTGAGCCGAGATCACACCCCTGCACTCCAGCCTGGGTGACAGAGCGAGACCCTGTCTCCAAAAAAAAAAAAAAAGCTTAATTTATTAACTGCTTTTCTTTCCAAGGGCTGGAATCATACCAGTTTCCTCACTGCACTGCCTGAACGTAGTAGGCATGGTAGATTCAATACATCTTTGGTTCACTGCTGGTTGTTGCCTGCTGTGTGTCGACGAGGAAGGAGCCAGGCTTCCAGGATTCTCTTGATGTTCTTGGCTTCCTGCTCTGTCCACCTCTCCCCTACCTCTATGGCACCTTTCCACGACTGTCTTTGGGCTGCTGCTTGCATTGGCAGGGTCTCTTTTTCAGGGCTGAGGGGACTGGTCATGGAGTAAGGAGACCCCTGTATGATGCTGCATGGGAGCTGGAGTTGGAGGGGGGCCCAGTGGATTATCCATGCAACTCTGCATTCCCCTCCATCTACTCATCCCTGGGTTTGTTTCTCTGGGGTAAGGAATGGGTGGGCTATGAACAGAGGATCTCAGCTGAGAAGTGGAAGATGTTTCATTCCATGCCTGGACATCTCTTACTTCCTCTGTTTATTTTTTGCTGCCATGAGGCCAGGAGGATTTAGGATCCCTGAGGAATGGTGCTGCTCTCCCTAGCAGGATGAGGTGGCCATCCACTGGCCCCCACCCAACTCCAGCTCCCATGCTGGAGGTAACCACAGAAGAGGGGAAAGAAGTGGACAGAGCAGAAAGCCAAGAACGCCAAGAGAATCCTGGAAGCCTGGCTCCTTCCTCATCACCACCCTGCAGGCAAGGCACAGTAAGCAACAGATAACCACTGACCAACCTAATGAACCCAAGATTTCTTAAATCTGTTATGCCAAAATGTTCAGGCAGTGCAGTAAAGGTCATTGGTAGGATCCTAGCCCTTGGGGAGAAAAGCAATTAATTAAGTAATTACTACGCAGTGTGGTGAGCATTGCCACAGTTGAAAGAATGGGCACCGAGGGGCATGTGGAGGAAGCGAATGCCCTGGGGTGGAGTAGGAGGCTCTCTCGGAGAAAGGGAAATTTAGGTCAAGAAAAGAAGGCTGGCCAGGTAAAGGGGCTTCCAGGGAGGCAGGGATCATTCTGGGCATAGGAATGGCAGAGGAAAGGCCTGCAGCCAAGGTAATATCCAATATGCAGGAATGGGCTGGCCTCAGAGGAGTGGAGGTGGCATGAGATGGGGAGAGAGGGGCGAGGGCCAGATGGCAGAAGTCCTCCTGCCCAGATTAGGAAGTCTGAAGTCTACCATAGGCCGTGGGCCAAGTGGAGGATTTCAGCAGGAGAGCTGCCTTCCCTGTGGAGGCCAGGATGGAGGAAGTGGAGTGGAGGCAGGGTGAGCATCAGCTTCTCCACAGACGGATGGAGAGGGGGTGGCAGCCTGAGCCATGGAGATGGCAGTGCCAACAGCCACAAGAGCACAGTCAAGCTGACAGGCTTGGCATTCAGTTAGAGAGGGAAGGGAGTGGGGTGGCTCAGCAATGCCCTCAGGTCCTGGTAGGGCAGCGGAATGACAAGCATGGGAACCAGCTGCGGGTGAATGAACAAGAAGGCCCCTTCTGGGCACGTGGAGGGTGAGGAGCCCGATAGAGACCTGGGGGGGATGGCCAGTGAGGAGGCAGCTGGTCGTGTAGTCTCACTTAGAGAAACATTTGGAGATCAGCAAATCACAGATGGTCATCTGAGCCATGGGCAACGATGAGAGAGCTCAAAGAAAAGGCACAGACTAAGAAGAGGGGCCCAAGAAAGCCGGCCCACAAAGCAGGGAACTCACAGCCAACCAGAGTCTAAGTAAGCTGCTAATCAAGGAACTAAAAGCTCACAACTCTCTAACGCTTGTTATTTTCTTTCCTTCTCTGTTTTTTTTTTTTTTTTTTTTTTTTTTTTTTTTTTCCCTGTTTTTTTTTTTTTTTTTTTTTTTTTGAGATGGAGTGTCGCCCAGGCTGGAGTGCAGTGGTCACAGCTCACTGCAGCCTAGACTTCCCAGGCGATCCTCCCACCTCAGCTTCCCAAGTAGCTGGGACTACAGGAGCATGCCACCATTCCTGGCTATTTTTTTCTATTTTTGTAGACATGGGGTTTTGCCATGTTGCCCTGGCTGGTCCCAAACTCCTGGACTCAAGCAGTCCTCCTGCCTCAGCCTCCCAAAGTGCTCTGATTATAGGCGTGAACCACCACTCCTGGTGGCTTACTAACCCTATGACTAATCTATCAACTTAACTGATTCTTCTGTTAACCAGCTATTAACTCATTTAATTATCTAATCAACCAGTCAACCATAAACTATCTAACTAACCACAAGCCAACAATTCAACCTGCTAACCAACATTTCTTCATTCAACAAACATTTGTTGGCCAGCATGGTGGCTCACACCTGTAATCCCAGCACTTTGGGAGGCCAAGGCAAGTGGATCACTTGAGATCAGGAGATCAAGACCAGCCTGGCCAACATGGCGAAACCCCCTTTCTACTAAAAATAAACAAAATTAGCCAGGCATGGTGGCAGGCACCTATAATCCCAGCTAGGGGGGCTGAGACATGAGAATCCCTTAAACTCAGAAAGCAGAAGTTGCAGTGAGCCGAGATCATGCCACCTGCACTCCAGTCTGGGCAACAGAGGAAGACTCTGTCTCAAAAAAAAAAAAAAAAAAAAAAAAAAGTGTTGAACATCTACTTATGAGTCAAGCACCAGGAACACAAAGTTAAAACCCACTCTCCACCCTTAGGTCACTCCGTTTAATGGAAGAGATGGGTAATGGCAACACCACTACAGAGAAGAAGCTTGGGACTGGGGGACCTCAGGGGAGGCATGGGAGGTGGGAACTGAAAGGTGTTTTGAAAATGGGCAGGTGGTGGCCTAACATGGCTATGGGGGAGTAGGGTAGTGGTAGAAAGAATGGTGGAAGGTAGCCAGGCACGGTGGCTCAGGCCTGTAATCCCAGCCCTTTGGGAGGCCGAGGCAAGTGGATCACCTGATCACTCAAGAACAGCCTGGCCAATATGGCGAAACCTCATCTCTACCAAAAATACAAAAAAAAAAAAAAAAAAAAAAGAAGAAGAAGAAAGAAAAGAAACTCAGTGTGGCTGGAGGAAGGAGAGCAGGGCCTGGAGTGGGGAGGCCAGAGAGGTAACAACAACTAGATAGGCAGGGCCTTGGCCATTGCAAGGACTGGTTCTAGTTTCACCCCAAAGACAGCTGAGCCTGAGAGGGTTAGAAGTGCTGAGTTCAGTTCTGCTGAAGGCCTCCTGCATGCCTTGACCCTCATCCAAGTCTTTCTGGGCCTCCCCTCAGCTCAGGACCCAGCCCGGGCTTGGCTGCACCACAGGGATGTGAGAGAAGGTGGAAGACGCTCTTCTTCCGGGACCTCATAGGCTAGTAGGTGGGTGAGGAGGAGGAGGTCGAGGCGGAACAGCCGCCCCAAAGGAGAGGCTGAGGAGGGGCAAGGAGGGCATTGAGGTGTGCTGGGTGGAGGACAGGGGGCTGGAGTTGGGGAACCGGGTAAGGTACTTACCGCCTGTGCTTGGATGCCTGAATCATGTTTTGTCTTGCAGATTTGTAGACGCTGTGAAGCCAGAGAAAGGTCACTAGGGCTGGAAGACACAGCACGTGGCCCCACACTTTCATCAGACCTCAGCCTACAGGGGAGAAGCCTCGGGGCAGCTCCTGCTAGTGCCACTCCCTTAACCCAGCCTAGCAGCAGAGAGGGAGGAGCAGTGCTCAGCCAATGAGGAGACGCTCTGGACCACCCAAGTTGGCCCCAGGACCAACCCCAGGCCAGACCCTCCAGCAGTCCTCCTCAACTTCCCTGTCTGCAACCCTGGAGACGGCCTCAGCCTCTGCTTAGTGGCTCAAGCCTCTCATATTTGCGTGCTATACATTTAGTCTAACCTCAAGCCCTCTTGCTGCTAAAGTGTGACTGTCTGGGACCTGCGCATGAGCGCGCGTGCACACAGACGATGAACACACAGGATTAGGCCCTGAAAACTCGTTTCACCTGTGCACCTCACCTAAAAATTCCTCTCTGTAGGCTGGGCACAGTGGCTCATGCCTGTAATCACAGCACTTTGGGAGGCTGAGGCAGGCGGATCACTTGAGGTCAAGAGTTCAAGACTAGTCTGACCAACCTTGAGAAACCCTGTCTCTACAAAAACTTAGCCAGGCATGCTTGCACACACCTGCAATCCCAGCTACTCCAGAGGCTGAAGCAGGAGAATCGCTTAAACCTGGGAGGCGGAGGTTGTAGTGAGCCGAGATCACACCATTGCACTCCAGCCTGGGCAAGGAGAGTGAAACTCTGTCTCAAAAAAATAAAAAAATTTCCCTTTGTGCTCCTATCTTTCTCTCTGACAGCATGAAGGTAGCCCCAAGTCCCCTCACACTATCTGTCCTCATTCTCTAGCCCAGTTCCCTCAAGCTGCAGCATGAACTCACATCCCCAGCCCTGATTGCAGAAATCCTCCAGCCCCAACTGCAGAAATCCTCCAGCCCCGGCCCCAGCCCTGCAGGAGGGGACTGCGTGGAAGGAACAACTCCAGCAAGCCAGCAGCTGACCCATCTATGGCCTGCACCCCTCCCGCTGCGGTCCAGTGCCGGAGGTCTTCAGCTCTCTCCTCACCCCACCACATGCTCTGCTGACAGCCCAGCCCAGCACACCCTGCCTTCTCTGCCCCACTGCTGGTCCTCCCAACAGCCAACTTAAAGTTAAGGAAACTGAGGCCGAGAGAGAGGGTCTGTGTGCCTGTGTCACACAGCAACACAGGACTGCAACAGAACAAGAAAGCCAGGCCTTTCACTCCCAGCGGGGGCTCCTTCCCCTGACAGTCCCACAGTCCCCTCCTCCTGTATGGTACCCAGGGAGTGGCCCTTCCAGGTCTGGGCACTGAGAAGGCCGGCCCAACCCCACCCTGCCTGGAGCCCCACTCACTCTGCTGAAATATCTTCTGATTCTCAGCCTCTGCCTTGGGGGCTTCTCAGTTAAAGTACGTCTGATCTTGTTCCTCCATGACCGTCCCTGGCTCAGCTTCCACCCTCAGCTGGGGCTTGGCTGTTCCTGTGTCCCCAGTCCAGAGCCCGCCTCTCAGCCCTTCCAGGGTGGCCCCGAGCGCTGCTCCTGCTCCTCCAGGGGAGAGGTCAGTAAGGCAGGGGTTTGGCTGGTGCTGCTTGAGCCAAGTCCAGATGCACTGCCCAAAATAGCATCCCTCTTCCTGCCAGCGGTGCCGTGGAGACCGAGTTCTGAAGCAGCCCTTGTGAGGTCAGAGGTGGAGCTCCAGGTGGACACTCTGGGCCTCACAGTCCCAGAGGAGAGGCCTGTCCTCCAAGCCAATGTGCAGCCTCGTGGAGATTCACTCAGGGTGGCTGGCAAAATATTAGGGAAAGCTATAGATTAAGTCTCAAACCTTTTAGAAGGTCAAAAGGTTTTATTTGGACAGGTTGAAGGCAGCCGGGAAGCGATAGGGATGATAAGAGGCTTTCCCAGTTTAAGTCTGTTTAGCCCACATCCCTTTGTCTCTACTGTAACTGTGTACTCATGTAAACTTTGTGCTGGATGACCCTCTCAGGGGGAGATCAAAGGGGAATTACCCGTCCATAGTGCTTGCTCTGGGCCCAGAACCTAAAGCTTTTATCGTTCGTAAAACCACCCTTTTAGCCATGTTAATTATCCGCCAGCGTGTTGCTCTGTTATGAAATCTTTTACTGAATAAAGGTGTGAGTGTGCAGGGCGTCTTGGCCAATTGGCTGCATCTTACCCTCTGAAAGTGGCGACAATCATCCCTAGCCCACTTGAATCACTGAACCAGGTGTGAGAGTGAGTCATTCCTCCGTCGTTGAGTCAGCATCCGCAGGACAGACCTCTGCAGGTGGTGATCGAAGTCTGGCAGCCTGACTCTGGGGCCAGCGCCTGAGGAAGCCCTCCCGGACCCCCACCGTTGGGGAGGCTGCAGAGGGCTCTGAGCCCCCAGCGATGGGGAGAGCTGCATAGAATGGGACTGCAGGTAGAAGTGTTTGAGATCAACAGCCAGGGGGAGGGGAGGGGAGGGGGTCTGGGCCAGTCCTCAGGGAGCCCCCATTCTGAAGGGGGAAAGGGAGACTCAGGCCCAGTTCTCAGGGGCCCCTGGTTTGAGAGGAAGGAGGACACACGAGCAGAGAAACACCAGTCTCAGAGAGGAGGTAGAAGCCCAGGCCGAGTCCTCTGAGGGCCTGTAGTCTGAGGAGGAGGGGGTAGGGGGAAACCTAGACCCTGTCCTCGGGAAAACCCCTCCCTTAGGAAAGGCCAGCAAGGCCCTGGTGAAGGAGCCAGAGCTCATCCAGGGCGTGGGGCTTGGGCTTAGCAGCCTGGGAGCTCCGGGACCAAGGTGGGCTCAGGAGACAGCCCGGAGACCAGCGGCAGTCCAAGAGGACTTTTGGGGCCAAGACCTGACTGGGCCTCAAACAGTAGGCAGGCAGTTTGGACTTTCAGCAGGTGACCCAGTGCTGACACACAAGGGAGGGGTTTCGGGTCTGCAGACTCTAAGGACACTTGCTACGTAGCATGCTGGATGGTGGGTAAGTCCTAGGAACTTCTGGGGCTCGGCTCCATTTTTTGGTGGGAGAGGGCAGAGGATTCAGTTGTCCAAAGCCCAGGTCTGGGAATGGAACTGTCCTGTAGAGGGTGCCAAAGGCTGAGCCAGGTCGGGAACCTACACAGCCCCAGTCCCCACCCCCACACACACCTTCCCACCCCTTCCAGCTTTTTCTGCAGGGAGAGGAACCGGCTGGCTGCAGCCGCAGACCTTCCTAGTCAGAAGCCCTCCGTAAGGCACTAACTACCCTCTGCAGATTCTTTTCCTTTTCTTTCTTTATTTTTCTTTTTTTGAGACGGTGTCTTGCTCTGTTGCCCAGGCTGGAGTGCAGTGGCTCAGTCTTGGTTCATGGCAACCTCCACCTCTCAGGTTCAAGTGATTCTCCTGATTCTCCTGCCTTAGCCTCCCGAGTAGCTGGGATTACAAGCATGCACCAACAAACCCAGCTAATTCTTTTGTATTTTTAGTAGAGACGGGGTATCACCATGTTGGTCAGGCTGGTCTCCACCTCCTGACCTCAGGTAATCCACTCGTCTCAGCCTCTCAAAGTGCGGGGATTACAGGCGTGAGCCACTGCGCCCAGCCTCCCTCTGCAGACTGTAAGTGGGCTTGGGACTCAGCGTCTCTTCCTCAGGAAGGGAGGGATGCACGTCTGGAAATGGGGAGCCCTGCCTTTATTCCTTTCCCATGTGTGCTCCCAGGGCCGGGGATGAGGTAATGTTAGAAGTGGAGCTGAAGTCTTGAATGAGGCCAGCACTTGGGCAGAGTTGGATTGGGCTGGTGTCAGGTTGGTAAGGGAGGGAATTGGAATCCACATTGGGGTCGGAGATCAGACCCTGAGCTCATTTAGAGGGCTTGACTCTGGGGACGAGAGGTGGAAAAGACACAGTCCCATCTGTCTCACGGCAGAGACAGGTAAGCAGCAGGTGACTTAGGACACACCAGAGAAGCCGGAAGGAATACAGGCAGAGCTAGCCCAAGCTGAAGGGGGACAAGGGTCTTCTGGAAGAGGTGACATACGAAGTGAGTTTTCCAAAACAAGCAGGGGGAGGAAGGGCACCATGGCATGTGAAGCCTGATGGGACCGTGAGAAAACCTGGGAGCTGTGAGTGGCCTGCAGAGAGCTGCAGAAGTGGGCAGGGATAGACCAGAAAGGGCTTTGTCTGCCAGGCCAAGGAGTTCAGACTTTAACTGAGGGCCTGAGGAGCCTTCGAAGGGTTCTAAGCAAAGAGAAGAGCAACGGGGTCAACCTGAGATCTCTGAGGCCCCAGGGCATCCAGCAGGCAAGGGTACAGTTAGGCCTGGGCTTGGGAGAGGGGTCTAGCTGGAGAAAGAGAAGAGGAGATACCAGCCCCTGGGCATTCAGCACTAGAGCTGATAGGGCTGCCCAAGAAGCAAAGGGTGTGAGGCAAGGGCCAGGGCCAGGATTCTGGGGAACAGGAATGATGAAGAAGGAGCAGATGGGGGCGGAGCTGGAAACCTAGACTCTGGGCTTCCCAGAGGCTGACGGGAGCCAGTAGGGGGCTGTTGCCCCAGATTTGGGTGCTGAGAGGGGCTGGCCAGGCAGGTGTTTGCAGATGGCTGTCTGGATGAGCTGGTGGGGACAGAGGGTGCCAACAATGCTGAAGAAGCAGAGGCTGAAGAGGAAGAAAATTCAACTGTGGAGAGAAGATAGGCAGCTAGAGGGGCCACTGAGGCAGAAGTTTGGGTCAGAGCTGTGAAGCATGTGAGTCTGCGTAGAGCCTGGGGGAGGGGGTCTCTGGATCTCTGGGTCAGTGGAGATAGTGGGGGCGGGGCAGAGAGGGGACACCTGGGGTCCTTTCTTCATAGGATGGGCTTGAGTAGAGTTACCAGATAAAATATAAGATGCCCAGTTAAATTTGAATTTCAGAGAAACAATATTTGAGACAATTATGCCTGGTAAACCTTTAGTCTAACCTCAAGCCCTTTTGATGCTTAAACTGTGACTGTCCAGGACCTACATACACATACAGACATACAGACACACACACACACACACACCCCAAGTTGTGCACACATGAGCATGCACCCATTCTGCCGGGTTAATATTTCCCTGCCTGCGTCAGCACGGTCCCAGTAAGTGGGCAGCTCGCTGCAGGAACGTGCCCTATCTGATCTGGTCAGGGGCTGTAGGTCTGGAACAGGGGGATTAGGGTGGGCAGGGAGCCCATCTCAGTTTCCCCCAGGCAAGCTACACTCTCTCCACTCTCCTGCTCAGCCAGAGAAAGGAGGTAGCCGCAGTGCAGTGTGACTGCTCGTTCTCCCCACTCACGCTGGGGACTCCCTGGTGGGACTGCCTCCCTGTTTGCCTCCACATAGGCCAAGGCCAGCTGCTCCTTGAGAAACCTTCCCCACTCCCTCATCTCTGCCTAAATCCTGAGGCTTCTCTATGCATAGATGTCCCCTTAAGGACAAACAGGGAACAAATTCACTAGAAATGCTCACAGCAAGCCCCTCTTCAGCAGGAAAGCAGCTTTGAAATGTCCAAGTGAGCCAACGGGAAGGTGGGATTCAACTGGCAGCTTTCCAGGGGCACAGTGATTGCACCAAGGGCCTGTGCAGAGATCTGTGTGGTCAGGGTCTGGGGTACTAGCACCCATAGGCATTGAGCCTCAGCCAGGAAGGCTTGGTGGGACATGCAGACCCCAGGCAGAGTGGCACGTCCCTAGTTCCTGGGCCTCTCCCTGGGTCGATGGAGAATCCTCCCGTGCCTGCATTTGTCCCTGGGGTGTGGACTGGGCCAGGCTGGGCTAGGTGAGCAGACACTGTCTCTTTTGCTTTTGTGATAGCCCAAGGGCTAGCGTGAGTCAAACCCAGTTGTCCTGGCTCCTAGCCCAGTTCGAGGATGCCCCAGTACTTCCATGAACAGGAGAAAGAAGGCTGGAGCACGGATGGAGGGAGACACTGCTGAGGCTCTTCCCACAGCACAGCCCCGCTGCCTTGACCTCCCTCAGGTTCCATTTCTGGGCAGTCTCCTCTCCACCCTAGGGCCACATTAGGACTTCAGTAGGCCCTTGGCATTTTTTTTTTTTCTAGAGACAGATTCTCACTCTGTTACCCAGGCTGGAGTGCAGTGGTGCGAACTTGGCTCACTGCAGCCTCAAACTCCCGGACTTAAGTGATCCTCTCATCTCAGCTTCCTGAGTAGCTGGGACTGCAGGCACACACTACCATGCCAAAATATTTTTTGTATTCTTTCTGTAGAGATGAAGTCTCACTTTGCTGCCTAAGCTGGTCTCAAACTACTGGGCTCAAGCAATCCTTCCACTTTGGCTTCCTAGAGTGCTGGGATTACAGATGTGAGCCACCGCGCTCAGCTTGGCATTTGTGTGTGTGTGTGGTAAAAAAACGCAACATAAACTTAGTGATCTTAACTATTTTTTTTTTTTTTTTGAGTATTGCTCTGTCACCCAGGCTGGAGTGCAGTCATTTGATCTCAGCTCACTACAACCTCCACCTTCCAGGTTCAAGCAACTCTCCTGCCTCAGCCTCCCAAGTAACTGGGACTACAGGCATGCCCCACCTTGCCTGGCTACTTTTTGTATTTTTAGTAGAGACAGGGTTTCACCACGTTGACCAGGCTGATCTCGAACCCCTGGCCTCAAGTAATCCACCTGTCTAAGCCTCCTAAAGTGCTGGGATTACAGGCGTGAGCCACCACGCCCGGCCTGATTGTAACTATTTTTTAGTGTAGAGTTCAGTAGTGGTAATTATATTCACATTGTTTTACAATCTCCAGAATTTTGTCATCTTGCAAAACAAATTCTGTACCCATTAAACAACCTCAATTCCCTTTCCCCTGTTCCTGGCAACCATCATTCTACTTTCTGCCTCTAGGAGTCTGACTACTCTAGATA